ACTCGTTCCTTCTTCTTATTCTTTCGTAGGCATTGTTAACTTCTTGTTTGGTTGCTTCGTCCGACATATTTGGATTTTGTCTATGTGATGCTGCCATTTTTCTTGCGATGGCATCGACTTTTTCTTGAGTTCCGCAGTTAGTTCCTTCTTCGTTGTATATTTGCGGCATCTTGTGTTTTGTCTTCTTCTTGGATTTTAACATCTTCTATACGTTTCCATAGTTTTTTTTCTGGTTTTCTGATACTGTTGCTACTTGTCCTCGGTGATGCTTCTAAGTCTTGTCCTTATTTCCTCGTATAGTTCGTCTCCGTAGATCTTGAATTCTAGTCTTCTAGTCCTTTGGAGGAAGGAGTCGCGGAAGAAGACGCATCTCCAGGTTAAACAATTTGAGAGCTTGGTTTAACTGCACTTCTGCTGACCTCTTTAGAGCAACGGTATCGAAAGTGCGAATTGCCATGATGGTTGCTAACCTTCTTAGAGGAGATGGCACATGAAAAAGAAGAAGAAGTCCTTTGAAAGGTTATTCTGGTTCCATTTCTCTTCGTTGTTCTTTATTTTAGCAGCTTGTTCGGAATGGTTAGTCCTCTGTTGTTCGTCTTTTCACTTGGGATGTTGTTTTCCATGACTTGCTGTTGGATTTTCCTTGCGATTTCTTCTATTACAAAATAAAACACGGCAGGGCAACGAGTGTCCCCAATGCAAAAGAACAGATTAGAACAAAATATATAGGAGTGGCAAAAACTTATTATAGTTCAGTAGATCACAATTTAAAAAAATGTGTTCTGGGAAAGGCCAGATGGAAGAAGGTCTGTAGGGCGGCCTAGAAAAAGGTGGAAAGATGCAGTCAGAGAAGATCTAGAGAAGATGGGAGTGCGATAATATGAATTACTGGCACAGGATCGACAAACATGGAAGGCAATAGTAAACGCGGCAAAGACTCACGAAGAGTTGTAGCGCCATTGATGATGATGATGATGAGATCACAATTTAGACTTTTTAGATGGATATGTTAAAAACCAACATATTACGACAGATATTTAAACTACTACTCAAATTATATTTTAACATAAATGTTAAATTACCCAACGGAAACAAAGTTACTTCTTCTAACTACTAGAATACTGCTCTGTGATACATTAGATGCAAATGAGATAGAATTTAGCAGTTAGTCAATTAAAATGAAGATTAATTATGTACGGATTTAATATCCCAATACACTTAATACACCAAGATGCTGTAACTTCAACAATGCTTGACTGATATCTATAAAAAAAAGCAGATCAGAAATATACGTCCCAAATTTCTATCAAAAGTAACATTTTACGGTTACATTTTAACAGTGTAGCTTGTACTCTGATAAACTCATTAAAACAACATTGCACAAGGTGCACCGGTCGATTGGAACTTTTTTCTAAACTACCGAAGACACTGTCGCGAATACCAAGACCCATAAAGGTTAATACTTTCATAAAGTTTATGCACCTCGACAGTAAACTTGATATCTGTGCTTTTAAGTAGGTAATTTATAAGAATTAGGATGGAAATAATCAACATAATATTTCTATGACAATTTATAAAATGATACTATGTTACAACAAACACTTAATATTTAACAGCGTATATCTTTTGGAAGGATCAAATGTAAACTATACTGCCTGATTGTTTTTTTTTTAATTTGTCAAACTCAATAATTACTATCAACTAGAATTAAAACGTAAATCTTTTTTACCATGTATTAAAAATTTGTAAATCTAATCACCAAAATCTTAGCAAAACACGACGCGTATTCTATATAGCAGTGTATATTACAGTATTAAGCTCATCTAATTGATACTACATAATTTTTATTTAAAACTATTACCTTATTGAATCAGTTACGAAAATAATTGTGAGTAATAGAAGTATGCTTTTATAATTGGAATATAAGTTTATAATAAACAATAACAAAATTAAAAAAATAAATTTCCGGTGGGCTTAAGTTGTTCGCTTTTCTTTTGTTAGAACAAAACAGAAATTCTATAAAAAAATATTTTGGTGAGTTTTGTTTTACAACTTTCCTTTTTATATTATGTTTTTCTTTCAGTAATATTAATTGATCTTTTACCATACTTGAGATTTTCTTCATCAAATTTTCTATTTTTAATGTAAGATTCATCCTCATTTGTCCTAACGTATAATAGTGGTTAGTTCTATCGGGTTTTATCTTACAATGATATGGAGGAAGTCTCAATACCAGTATTATGTTTTTTATGATTGAAAGAAGCTAGGTATCAGTATTTGGAAAGCTGCAGTAGAACGTTATTTAGAGTATTCTACATTAAGGCGATACGTTGAAATAAGAAAATCTGCTCCAAACGAAAACATAAGATTTGTCCCTAACTACGAGACGAACATGATTTTTACAAGTGAACAAGAAGATGCTCTAAGACCTACTTGAAGACTTGTGCACTTATGCTTTATGGATTGACGTCTATTAAATGTAAAAAGGTTGCATATCAAATGGCTCAAAAGAATTATATCAATATTCTTGATTCCTGGGAGAATGCAAAAACGGTCATTGAGAAAATCAAAGACGTACAGCCTGGCACGTTCAACATCATTTAACAGAGATAATGTTAATCGCTTTTTTGACAACTGATATGCTGTAATAAAGCTTGATGAAACTGCAGCCACAACGGTGCAAAAACGCAAAGAATATTGGCACCAAAAGGGAAAAAATGTTTGGATAAAGTCACCAGCGGTGAGAAAGGGATGCTAGTAATATCGTGCTGTTTTATATGTGCCGGTGGTTGTGCTTTACCTCCAGCAATAATTTTCCCGCGGAAAAATTATAAGAATTTCATGTTAAAAGGCGCCCCCACTGGCTCCTTAGGCCTTGTTACACCGACTTCTTCTTATGGTGATCTATCCAATTAGTGGATGTTGGCGACAATTCTGGCATACTCCTCTCGATCTTGTATGGCTCTAAAAAGTGCATGGGCATCGAGGTTTGTCCAATCCCTCATGTTTTTAAGCCATGAGTATTTCTTTCTTCCATTGCCTCGTTTTCCTTCTATCTTCCCTTCCATAATAAGCTTTAAGAACAGGTACTTAGAATTTCGAAATATATGACCCAGATAAGCAGTTTTTCTTCTTTTCATTATTGGCAGCAATTCGTATTCTCTGCCCATTCGATTTAATACTTCGACATTTGTTGTGTGATCTGTCCAGGGAATTTTAAGTACTCTTCTAAAAACCCACATTTCAAAGGCCTCCAATCGGTTTATCACATTGGCCTTTATGGTCCAGGTTTCTACACCATATAGCAGTATGGAGTAAATGTAACATGTTACGCCGACAGTATGGATGAATTCTGAGTTATTTGTAGAGATAATGAAACATTTCATTAAACATAGCAGAAATTCTCCTGATAATCCATCAATTTTAATGTTCGATAATCATGAATCTCATTTAGCCATCGCAGCCTTAAATTTGGCAAAAGCTGCAGGGGTTAATATGGTAACTTTGCGTCCCCACACATCGGCTAAATTACAACCACTAGACGTTAGTTTATACGTCCCATTAAAGACGTATTATAACAGTGCCATAGAGTCATGCCTTTAAAAAATGCGGTATATATCCCTTTGATCGGGATATATTTACAGACGAGACTTTTTGCCAAGTGAGGTAACAAACAGACCATGTCCAAATGATGAAAGTTCTAATAATACAAGAGACCTTCAAGGAGGTGAACATAACAATGAAATCACTGTGCCACATGAAAATGACAGTTCTGCAGCTAATAACATTCAATCAGAAAACTCTGAACATACAGAAAATGAAGCAGGGCATAATTTATTCCACCACAACAATTTATGCCTGCATTGAAAACCCAACCTCGTCAAAATAATAGAAAGAACAGAAAAAGTAAAAAAGTATTATTACCACAGATACACTTAAAAAAAATTATTGAAGAAGAAAGATTGCAAGCTAAAAGAAAGAAGCTAATTAATGAAAATAGACAAGCTAGGAAGAGTTTCCAAATTGTTAATGACGATAATACAGATTCAGAGGAGGATGAAATAGATATTTGCCTTGAGAGTGAAAGTGATAGTAAAGAGTATGAACAAGATCTTTCTATTTTAAATCCAAATTTGTTTAGTACCCAAGGTTTTAATCCTAACGTAGAATATTATGTCCTCGTAGAATTTCAGCCACCAAAGTCAGTCGTATATTTTGTGGGGAAAATATTACAGATAAAACAAGACAGGGAATATTGCATATCATTTTTAAGACTTAAGGATAAATATCGTGAACAGTTTGTTATGCCCAATGTTCCTGATATAGCTTCCGTCAACAAGAAAGATGTGAAATATATTTTGCCGAGACCAACACTATGTGGCAGCACAAAACGACAATGCTATTTTGCGTTTATAGTGTCTTTTTCTTTATTAAATGTCAGATATGAATTATACCTATCTTCAGTTTTACTGTTCTTTTCAACTATTCTTGTGCTTTTAATCAATAAAAATTTGAAATCTTATTATAGTTTCTGTAAACCTAATTTTTATTAGGTATGTGTAAAATAAAGTAGTTTGGTTTAATGTGTACGCAGCACTAGTTCATTGTGTACCACCCGTGGGACACAATGAACCAAAGACACTTAAAAGAAGAAAACCATATTAACTCAAAAACATTAATCTTTATTTTAAAACATTAAGCATTTTCGGACTAAGAATTGTCTTAAAATTATCTGAGAAATCTCTGGTCTTCTTTTGTCAGGAGAGTTTCTGGACACCCTGTATATAATATAATTATATATATATATATATATATATATATATAATATATATATATATATATATATATATAATTATAATTATAATTATAAACTAGATAATACCTTTTTTTATTTTCTAGTCACATTCCGAAACCGTGTAGGATATATTTAACATTTTAAAATAAAATTATTTTATTGTGCAAGTTAATAATAATAATATTAATATGACTTTTTTTGTTGCAGACTGGGTTAAGCCGCATTCCAACTTTCGGTTCGAGAATCCCGCATGCCGAGTCGAAACCCGTCATCGTATCCGCCACTGGCACCATCAGCACTGACAGCGAAATCACAGCCAAGAACATAGGCAACCGCGTACGCGTTGGCGATAAAGAAGGAATCCTCCGTTTCGTCGGCGAAGTTAAGTTTTCGAAGGGAGTGTGGTGCGGAATCGAACTAAGCACATCGGCCGGTAAGAACGATGGCTTTGTCAACGGCATTCGCTACTTCGCTTGTCCGGATCGCCGCGGGTTGATGGCGCCACTCGCTAAAGTTTCGCTCGTCAACAGCAACTGTGAAAGTATTGAAAATGCTTCAGGACCGTATTCTATGCTTTTATTAATCCGCGTCAAGGAAGAAATAACGAACTCGAACGAGCTGTTAGTCATGAAGAACTAGTACATGACAGAATTTCAAAAAAGAGAGATACGTTCACTCTTTCAAGGCATGAAGCTGCTAAAAAACTACATCAAAACCTAAATAATACTGCTATCATTGATAAAAAATGTCTGCAACAAAGAACAAATTTAATTATTCCGAAATCCATAGAAATTAATAAAAAGAGATCTAATGATACGATCGATTTAACTAAAGTAGAATCTGCCGCTTTAGAATCAGAAAACAAAAACTCCCGAAAAAACGAGGACATTCCCAAGTACTTCCCGATAGACAAAGCTTGCGAAAATCTGTTAAAAGACTCTAGTTCAGAAGTTAAGAGACGCAGAACTTCAAATCCAAAGATTCAAAAGCTCGATGCGCTAGTTTTAAGAAGTCTTAACGAAAATATCGACAAACCTTCGTCACTGCCTCAACTTAAATGTAGTAGAAGCTCGTTAGATGCCTTCAGTATAGGAGTATTTAACACATCGACTCCGGAACAAAGCGATGCCGATAGTACGTTAAAAATTTTACGATTATCCGGTGGAAAACAGGATCTCAATACTACCGCGAATTTCGAAGACGATAGTAGTAAAAGAGATTCTTTAGAGTTTGATGAATCATTAGGAATACTCACTCCTGATGAAATGTGTTCTCAGTTTTTAAATTCTCAAATACGTTCACCGAGTTTAGAAGAATACGACAAAAATATTAACGATTATTTCTCTAGTACAAATAGTAATAAAAAACTCGACATTGATAGTCCTAGAGATGATAGTTTAGGTCTAATAGACGAAAAATTAATAAATTTAAGTATGAATAAGACGAAACCATTGAATTTAGATGTTCCACAAATTAAAGATAATAAAGAAGACGTACAGAGTCCAAATCTAACCGATTATAGTCTTGGGATTATAGATGAACAAGTATTTGGGAATCTTACAATGAAAACAAATACAGTTAACATGGAACTACCATTAGACGTAGAAAAATCGACTTTAAATCGTTTGGAACAAACTCCCTCTCCAGAAGAGTTACCCTTGGATCCAACAAATTTAACTGATTACAGTCTTGGCATTATAGATGAACACGCCCTTTCAAATTTAACAATGAAAACAGATACTACTGTTAACATGGAGCTACCGTTGGATGCTGAAAAATCAGCTTTGACTCGTATGGAACAAACTCCATCTCCAGAAGAATTACCTTTGGATCCAACTCCTATAGTAGAGTGTGATCCGAAAACAGAACCTAGTAAATCAAAAACTTCGAATAGCTTCATCAATAGTATTACCAGCATTACTAGTTTAGATACAGGGTATCAAGGAGATGGTGAGATGTCCAGACCGGCAAGTAGAGGCGCTGACAATTCTCCATTAACGAGAAGACCATTGCCTCGACCACAATGTAGAAGAGTTGATCCCATGACAGATTCAGATTTTTATACAGAAAGTGATGCTGATAACCACGAGGAAAATCATTTAAGAGGCGATCGAAGAGTCCAAATTATCGACGGCACCCTCTACGGCATCGATCCACAAGCTGCTGCAGACATTTATGTTAATAATCGAGAAAATATGGACTCTAGTGGTATTTTTACGGATATAGAAACAAACACTAGAAATGAAGATGACTTTATTCGCATGGAAGTACCTGACGTGTCGCCATCAGATACGAGTTCCAAAACAATATCCGAAAACAGCCAAGACAACCTTCAACAAATCATTGAAAAGTCGGCCGAAAAGAAGGCGGAACAAGCACTTTCCAAAGAGAACCCAAAGAAAAGAAATGCCCCTAGTCCAGGCATATCTAGTCCTTCTAGTTTTTCCTCTCCAAGACACGGTGCTAAAGATGATAATGCTGCTAAGAAGTATAAAATGCCAAAGAGGGAGGTAGTATCCAAAGTTAAAGCTATGATTGATCCTCCTAACGAGCAAAATAATGAAAAGAAAACTATTAAGAAGCCTGCCGGTAGATGGGACGCGGTTATGAGTAAAATAAGTAAAAACGAACAGAATAAAACTAATTTAAAGGAAGTGAAATCTAAAGTGTTTAATGCGGTCAATAATAATACGGTGGCTCCTCAGAGAAAAGCGGTTACAAGGAGTCCAGGGAGTCAGAAAAATCAAAATAGTAAACTGTAAGTAAATTGTTAGAACCTTACACTAATCTTATTTTATTTTTGCTTATGTTTTATATCTCATAAATCACTATTTATTAATTTTAATATACTATTAGTTGCAAGATATTTCGGATTTAATCTTCTATATTTCTAATGACGTTCTTACAAAAACACAATTTTCTTTCTTCCTTCCAATTCGGTTTCCAGTCATTAAAAAGTACATATGATGCCATCTTTGAATTTATGGAAAAACTATACTTGGACTTCAATAACGATTATGTTGCTGCCGCAGTTTTCTGTGATCTATCTAAAGCCTTTGACTGTGTCAATCACAAAATACTACTTAATAAACTGGAAAGATATGGTTTTAGAGGCACTGCTCTAAAGTGGTTCAGTTCATACTTGGAAGACAGATGCCAGTCTGTATCAATCAATGAGCGCTACTCTAGTAATATCTTTATTAATTGTGGAGCACCTCAAGGCTCTTGGGTCCTATCTTCTTCTTGATATATTTTAACGATATAACTAACCTCGACATTAATGGCCGGTTTACTATATTTGCATATGACACCACAATTTTATGGCAAAACAAGGACTCTACGGCACTGAACAAGACTATTAGTAGTGATATGCAAACAATTTTAGAGTGGTGCAAAGCTAATCATTTGACATTTAATTTTTCAAAAACTAAATTAATTTCTTTTAAGAATGATCTAAACAACATTACTCTGGGCAATGAAGGCATTTTTTCTGATACCGTAAACAAATTTTTAGGTCTCTATATTGATAATAAACTTAAAATTGAGCAACACACTGTATATTTAAGCAAAAAGATATCATCGGGTTGCTATGCGGTCAAAGATTGCAAAAAGTGCTAATTGAATCTAATTTGAGATACGGTATTGCCTTTTGGGGTAGCTGTTCTCTTCATCATTTCAGTAGAATCTTTATGCTACAAATGAGAGCACTCAGATGTTTATGCAAGGTCAAGTTTGGTACATCATGCAGGCCTCTGTTCCGGAAACATGGTATCTTGACACTTCCTTGCATATATGTCCTTGAATTAGCATGCTTAATTTTTAAAAAACATAAAGAGGATATTCGGACAGTTTCCCCTTATAATACACGTCTAAATTATGTTATTCCACTTCCAATTCCCTCTTCTACATTACCTAAAAAATCATTTATTTACACTGGTAAGAAAGTGTTTAATCACCTACCACTTGATATAAGATCCTCAAGCAATATTTTTGTATTCGAAGAGCAATCAAGAAGTTTTTATTATCTAAATGTTACTATAGTATAGAGGAATTTTTTAAGGACAGTTGCGATAATTAATATAATATTTTTTAATTATGGAAATTTTATAATTAGTATTTTAATATATCTTATATACAGGTATAGTTGTATACAGGGTTGGACTTATATACCGATACATTTGATCAAAATTATGAAAATCTCATAAAGTAAAAGAAAAATCTTCTTCTTCTTCAGCCTTCATTTATCCAATGTTGGACATAGGCCTCCTCCAATTGCTTCCACGCTTCCCTATCTTTTGCAATGCAGTTATATCGTCTATCCATCTCTTTTTAGGTCTTCCCACGCTTCTTTTTGTTTCTCGAGGTCTCCAGAATGTCACTTTATAAGACCATCTGTTGGTGTCTTGTCTTGCTACATGTGCTACCCATTGCCATCTCAATGTCGATATTTTTCCCATGATGTCGGTTACTTTAGTTCTTCGACGTATTTCGGTGTTAGGAATTTTGTCTCTGAGGCTTATATTTAACATGGCCCTCTCCATGGCCCGTTGAGTTACTCTTAATTGTTCTGCCATTTTCTTGTTATTGTCATAGTTTCCAATCCATAAGTTGCAACTGGTAGTATACAAGTGTCATAGGTTTTTCGTTTTAAGTGAATTGGGATTTTTCTGTCTTTTAAAATGAAGCTCAACTTACCAAAAGCAGCCATGATAATGGTGTCCTTCATTTAATTTCTACGGTTTGATTTTCCTTTTCGTTTTTAATTGCATGTCCTTGATATATATATATATATATATATATATATATATATATATATATATATATATATATATATATATTGTTCTACCTTTTCTATATTGATGTTATCTATCGTGATGTTTTCTAGGCTATTGCTTAATATCTTTGTTTTGTCGAGATTCATTTTTAATCCTATTTGATTCGACTTGTGATTTAAATCTTGTAGCATTGATTTTAGTTCATGGATATCTGTACTTATTAGTACTATGTCGTCTGCAAAACGCAAATGGTTAAGATATACTTCATCTATTTTTAATCCATTTTCGGCCCAATTTAGTTGTTTGAAAACATTTTCTAATGCCAAAGTAAATAACTTGGGTGAGATTGTGTCGCCCTGTCTCACACCTTTGCCAAGGTCTATTTTCATAGTTTCCAGATCATCATCTATTTTTACGTGAAAAGTAGCATCATCGTATATATTCTTAAGGAGGGCAGCATATCTTGAATCTACTCTGACGTCATCCAATGCTGTTAAGAAAGCCCATTTCTCGATACTGTCGAATGCTTTGTGATAATCGACAAATGCCAGATGTAGTGGTATGTTGTACTCTATTGTTTTTTCAATAATGGTCCGAATTGTTTGCAAGTGATCGATAGTGCTAAAACCCTTACGAAAGCCTGCTTGCTCCACTGGTTGGTATGCATCTAGTTTAGCTGTCAATGTCAATTTGTTAATATTCGGGTTACTAGTTTGTAAAGGTGTGACAATAAGCTTATTGGTCGGTAGTTTTCTATATTTGCGGCGTCCCCTTTTTTATGGAGTAGAATGACTTCCGCATTTTTCCATGTCTTCGGTATTTGTCCTTCCAATAGACATTCTTTTTTTTTTTTCAAAAAATTCAGAACGATTTCCGAAGTGGAAATTGAAACGTCAATAAACGTATTCTTATCTTTAATTGTGGCTTATTCCCAGTTAAATAGTAATTAATTTACAATGCCACAAGAAAATAGCTTTAGAACAATATTTAGAAATTTTTATTTCTGAATTCCAAGTACAACTGCAACTAAGTGATTAAATATAAATAGATACACAAATTATGCTTAAAATTTTATTTACCAATCGTTAACAACTCAAAATTAAAATACATACCTGGCTACACCTACTTTGTATCATTTACTAAAGTACCTTAAAACTTTGGATAGAATTTAAAATTGAACCTAATGTAACGAAACACTAAGGGTGGTTATTCGTTACAGCATTAAGGGAGTACAGTCATTTTGTACTTGATATCGGCGCACGCTCTTAATCTGGGGAATTCCATCCGAATTATTTTGCAACGGATAGTAAAAGATTATGATTGTATCAACAATTATCAGCAGCTAATATTATTTTAAGAATGCTAGTGTATATATTTGCATGTTTCAGTACTGCTTCTTCTTCTGCTACAACACGCTTGGAATTAACAGATAACAAAACAAAAATGTAAGCTTGTAGATTAAAATCGTAGAATATTATTACTGTATTGCATGCTTTTAGTTCCCCTCGGCTGCAGTCCAGGTTGATGAATACAACGAAGTCTAAAACAACGTTAACTGGGAGGTAAGTTTTGGATATGGTTTGAGTGTTTAAAACTTATAGCACTATAATACACATAACCAAACTTATATGGAATCATGTGATATTTCGTATTATTTTAAGCGAAAAGTAAACTAATTATTTAAGAACTTCGTCTGCATCTTCATTAATTTTCGCTAGCTCCTGTGAAAATATTTTTGCTCATGCTTTATCATATCATCAGCACAGGCTAAACATTGATCCTCGTTGTTAAATGTGCACTCGTCTTTCTGTATGACTGATTATTATGAGACAAATTGCCATGTGTCGGTCGGATAGCCAAGCGAGCTGGGCGGCTGGCTTCTCCTTCGCTTATGGTATCAGAGATACCAGTTCTCTGAGAATTTTTGGGTAAATAAGGCAAGGTTTCAATATATCTCCGATACTCTTTAAAATTTTGAAAAATTGGAGGTCATGCTCTGGAATGGGTATACCATTAAATGAGTAAACAACCTTATATACGATTTATTTCGAGGACGATCAAGTAATCATCGCACAAGACCATAAATCTGCTCTTCATAAAAAAAAAGGTTATGAGCGATGGGGCCTAAATGTTTAACAAATGTTCTAAAGGACCTAAATAAGCAGTGATACTTCTTCTTCTTTTTGCGCCACTCCTATCGGAGATTGGAAATCATCAAGGCTATTCTGACCTTGTTTACGGCTGACCTAAAGAGTTCATTAGTGGTGCAGCCAAACCACTCTCTCAAATTCCGCAACCATGACATTCTTCTACGGCCTGGATTCCGTTTTCCTTCTATTTTTCCCTGCATTATATTTTGAAGTAATGCGTATTTATGTCCTCTCATCAGGTGACCAAAATATTCGAGTTTTCTTCGCTTTAGCGTTAACAAAATCTCTGGGTCTTTTCCTATTCTTCGTATTACTTCACAGTTTGTTATTCTTTCAACCCAACTAATCTTCAGCATTCGACGGTAGCACCACATCTCGAAACTTTCAATATTTTTCATGTTGTTCTGTTTGAGAGTCCAGGCCTCTACACCGTATAATAGCGTGTTAAATACATAGCCTCTCAGCATTCTTAATCGCAGAGGGATGCTTATATTTCTGTTGCAGAAGAATTTTCTCATCTTTATGAAGGTGGCCCTGGCAATTTCGATACGTCTTTTTATTTCACTGTTTTGGTCTCCAGTTACGTTTATTAGAGTTCCCAAGTATTTGTAAGTTAATACTTTTTCAACTTGAGTGCCGTTTATACTAATATACGCTGGTTGTGTCATGTTTTTACTGAAGACCATATACTTGGTTTTTTTAATATTGATATTTATACCATAATTGTTGCAAGCAATATTTATGTCTGTAAGTAATCTTTGTAATTCTTCTACTGTTCTTGCAACTAGTACAGTGTCGTCCGCGTATCGAATATTATTTACAATCTCTCCATTAATTACGATTCCTCCGTTTGCTTGTAAAAGGGCTTCCTGACAGATGCTTTCACTATATACATTAAATAACAGAGGTGACAAAATGCAACCCTGTCGTACTCCTCTACGTATTTCTATTGCTTGTGATGTTTCAGTTTCTATTTTGATGTTAGCTTTCTGATTCCAATATAGATTGAGAATTATTCGCAGATCTTTATTATCTATGTCCTTCCTTTCAAGAATCTCTCTAAGCTTATCATGGCGTACTCTGTCAAACGCTTTTTCAAAATCGATAAAACACGTATGTACCTCCTGATTAACGTCTAGCATCTTTGTGTGAGAACATTCAAACCGAAGAGAGCTTCTCGAGCACCAAGCCCTTTTCTGAACCCATCTGTGTATTACTAATATCTGACTCCAACTTTTGATAAACTCGGTTGTGGATGATTTTTAGAAATATCTTTAGTAGGTGGCTCATTAAAGATATTGTTCGATGTTCTGAACATTCTTTAGCATTAGATTTCTTTGGCAGTGTAACGAATGTAGACAACAGCCACTCTTGAGGTATAATGCCAGTATTGTATATTGTATTAAATAAGTGCAATATTATACCAATTGATTCATCATTCAAGAGCTTTAGCAATTCGGTAGGAACCTCATCCGGTCCATTTGCATTCCCAGTTTTGGAATTTTTAAGTGCCATTTCTACTTCACATTTTAGAATTTCAGCTCCCGTTTCGCCATATATCAGAACAATGTTATTTCTGTTGTCCTCAAATAATTCTCTTATGTATTCACTCCATCTATTAATTTTCTCTGTTAAATCTATAATAATCTTTCCATCTTTGTTCTTAAGCAAACTTATTTGACGTCTTCTTTGGGTTCCTGTAATTTCTCTTACTTTTTTATGTATATTGAACGTGTCATACTTTCTTTCATAGTTTTCCATTTCTACACATTGTTCTGTAATCCATGATTCTTTGGCATTTCTTATTCTTTGCTTTATGTTCTTATCAACCTCTTTGTATTTTTCTGCATTAGTCTTCATTTTACGTCTTTCATCCATTAGTTCTAGAATGTCTGGTGTCATCCACACCTTATGTTTCTTTGCAGGTTCGGTTAGGTGTTTCTTTCCCGTAGTTCTTATTATAGTATTTATATACTTAAGTTTTTCATCTATGTTGTCTGTTCTGCGGATTTGGCTTTCTGCTACACTGAGGCTGGTGTTTATTTCTTCTCGCACTGTTTGTCGTAGATGTTCATTTTTAAGCTGGCTTAAGTCTAATGCTGGAATGATGGCTTTTCTTATTTCTTTGGTCTAGCTTCTATCACAGATACTACTGGATTATGATCCGAACCGATATCAGTTCCAAGGAAAGTTTTAGTAGATTTTACGGCATTACGGTATCTTTTTGTCACCAATATGTAATCTATTTGGTTTCTGACCACTTTTTCTTGTGTATGTTGAGGTGACGTCCACGTATATAGTCGCCTTGGGGGTAGTTTAAAAGAATGTATTAGTTATTATTAAATCTTCGCTTTGACAAAACTGAACTAAACGATCACCCTTTCATTTTTATTACCTAAGCCATATTCACCGACATTTTCTCCAACTTTACCCTGACCTACCTTGGCGTTCAGATCGCCCATTACTATGTTAATGTGTTGTCTCTTTGTTGTTCTCATCACCTCTTCTAAGATATTATAGCAGTGATACAATCCTTCCATATTTAGGTCAGGTGCTGCTAATTCTGTAATGAATACTTTCTTCAAACTGCCTAAACGACGTCTTTACACTTGTAAATCGCCAGCTGACAAGGTCGATAAAATCGTTAGAAACCAAATTGACTGTATTTTAATAAACCATAAATACCGAAACGCAATACAATCGGTGAAAGCGTAACCAGGTGCAGACGTGGCGTCGGACCACAATTCTCTTGTAGCAAAATTCCAACTTCATTTAAAAAAGATACAAAAATGCTACAAAAGTGATAAACAAATTAAAATCAGAAAACGTCAAAGAAAAACTGAAACAAGAAATTAATGCAAACCTATCATCCACACCGGAATAAATTTATGATTTATAGAACAACAGTGGCAATTCTTTTAAAATACAATTATTGAACCAAGTCGTAGAGAACTCACAACAACCAGATGCAAGAAAGGAGATTGACGTGACACGAGATTTTTACGTGGCAAAGCTTTCCAATTCAGCTCAGTTTCGGCTGCGTTGTAAACGTTTTGGAGGGCGTAATTTTCTTGTTTCAGTAACTTCCTTAATTTAATTTAGAATTAATCTTCTAAAAAATCAGTGCATTTTTATCCTTGTATTTGAATGTCTCGACTTAAATCGTTTTAACCAGCCTGTGCTTGCTTGGAAATTGATAGCTCTTCGGTCTTTGAATTGAACTGCTTTTTCACACACAATCAGATCAGAAATAGATTCTCCCTGGAATCATTTTGAGTAAACCACTATCTATACAGCATCATCTAAATCCGTGTTTAGACACTGCTTTAAAAATAAATTAATTCAAAGCTTAAGAGCTCAGATATCACAACTAATATTACTGACAAGACTGTCCACATTTTATACCCTAAGTTCTACTCAATCGTTTGTTTGAATGCTTTTTACCTTTTAACATAAAACCAAACTGAATACTCTACAAATAGTTTTTCTTATCATTTGACTACTATTTTGTAAATATAGATTATTTTTAGGATAATTCCAACGAAATCTTCAATCGGACCACAATTTACACGAAGGTAAGAGCCATGTAAAAGTAATACCGTAGTAAAAAATTGTTTTCTCAAAAATTAAATTAAGTTTTAAAGACATAAAAAACACAAACTGTCTTTAAGTTAGGTTGTGGCTTTATTCGTTTACTCATTTTTTATACATATAGAATATATAATATGATTTTTTTTCATAAAATTCTTAACACCTTCTTTAAATTCAACAATTGGAATATTAAAATGAAATCATACCAACCCTTTCTATATTTATTTTTTTAAAGTTTTAAAATTAACGAAATTGTGTATTTTTTTAAAATTAACCCTCTCTGGACACTGTATTTTTATATAAACAAGAAGCACCGTGGAGTCAAATAGACTCCAAATTATAATCTATTAATTATGGAATTATAATATATAAAAGAGATTTGCTGAGCATTACGTTTGACCTGATCTTCACCTCTTCTTTTGACTTCGCTAATTTGAGTTCCTCCTCTAGTTCCATCATTTTTTTATCCTTAGCTAAGGTTCTTACATTATACGTAATTATGTGCAGCGTTCGTCTTTCTTGGTAGCCTCCTACAATCCGGGGATTCTTTGCACCCTCTGCCCGCTGTCCGTGAGTCCTACCGCTACCTTGGTTGGGAATTAGCTAGGTGCCGGGGACTGAGGGCCGTTTTCTTGAATGTCTGTTCATGTTGGCATTTAAAACACCACGCTTGCCAGGCGGGTTGGTGAGTTGGTTTGGGAAATTGGTAGGATAGTAGGTATTGGGTAGTAATGGGGTTAGGACATGATTTTCTCTCCACAGAAGTAGAGAGAGAATCAAAGCTCGCGTAGGGCAGGGTCGCATTCCTGAAGTAAGTTTATCTTCCACTAGGATTGTGGAAGAGTACCTACCCACTACACCACTTTAGAAACAGCATAGAAACAAAGAAATTAAATTGGTGATGCTATGCTGATGCTATTGGTAGGCATGTGTTGTATGACAAAGTTGATATGCACATTAAAATTTGCATTTCGATAATCCCACATAGTTTGGGGCGTCAGAACTGATAAGTGAATTTATGTTGGATTTGATCTAGAAAGAATAGTGGGGTCAGAGGTGATTTGATTACCAATTCGGCGAGAAATAAAATAAACAGAGGTACTAAAAGAAATTTACAAAAGAATAAGCGCAGGTATTCGCTTCTAAAATTCTGAAAATTTCTAGCATTAGAAGATACTTTGGGGGTTTATATGATCACAGTGTCATTGAGGATTAATATTTAAAACTATTAAAAACAAAAAACAAAGTCCAAAATGAGAGTAGCAGTTGCAAATAATAATAAACTTATTGAAGTGGCATGTTGGTCATTTTATAGCAGTGTTTTATTTACTTATAATATTATTTTAGCACTTCTGCTGCAGCTTTACAAAATGGTCAAAAAAGTACTGCTAGAAAGCTCAATGGCGATTCCAGGTAAATGCTAAAATTGATTAATTTCTGGAATGGTTAGTGAAAACAATTTGTATTCGTAAAAGCACATTGTACATATAAACTAATTAAATAAATTTGGGCACCACTAACATTTTTTTATGGTATTTTTAAGGTACTAACATTTTTAGACGTTGGATTTGGATTCCGTCTGAATTCAAACACATATTCAAGAAATAGACACATTTGAACATAATCAATTTAAAAAATACATTTACAGTTTAAATGATTATCAAATGTTTTCCTTAACCATTTTTAGTGCTTGGTAACACTGTAGTTTTTTGTACATATTCACTTAGCGCATGTTTTTAGTGTGTCTCCAGTCGCATTGAAAAGTTCAAGAATATCGACTGCAGTCAATGTGGTAGAGAGGTAAGTAGATGTAGTAGATTCTAATAATACGAAAATATTTACGTGTTTTATAATTCTAAACGTATTGGAACGTTGTTATATCTAATTAATAGTCTATTGTTTATTTTAATTTATTTAAAGTCTTATTTAAAGTATCTTTTACAACTCCCAATTTTATAAAAGTGGTAACAGATGCGCAGGGTCGTATTTTACATAAAAAGCTGGTAAAAAACCAAAATTTCTAAAACTAGCATTTCAGACCGATTCTTGTCCCCAAAGCATGTGACGTTATCTAGCCCTATCCCCGTCCCAAATAACCAAACCAAACAAATTCTACAGCTGTCATCATCATCATCATCATCATAAGTGGCTCGAAAATCCTGCTCACAAAGGAGTCACCACTTCTGTCGATTCTTTGCAACTTTCCTCCATCTTCTGACCCTTAGAATCTGTAGGTCAACCTTTACATCATCAATTCATCTCCCTTATGGTCGTCCTCTACTTCTTGTGCCCTTCACAAGTTCTTGTACTACCACAAGTTCTGATTCGCTTGCCGCGTCCGCAAGTCTTGTAAAACACTGCACCATGTCTCTTCTGCCCACTATATCTATATTGCCAGCGAATACGAGAATTTGCGTCGATCTATTAAAAAAAGTTTCATTCATTCTAATATTTAATTGCATGATTGTTTTTTTTAAGGCAATATGTATACAGAGGAGACACGCCAGTGCGTCCCCCTTTCTTAGACCATTATTAACGTCAAAGAATGTAGAGTTTTCTTCTTCAATTCTAACACATGAGCTTACGTTTTGCATTGTTAGTTGGGTCAACTTAACTAACTTAGGTGGGATCCCAAAAAGTCTATCATTGCATTATATAATGCAGTTCTTTCACACTGTCACATAGTCTGCTTTGACGTCGACGAAGAGATGGTGTGTATCTATGTTATATTCTAGTGACTTTTCTAGAATCTGCCTATGTGCTTGAACTTCTGCTTCTTCTGCTTTCCAGCAGTAAATTTGCATTGATATTGACTACCAATATCCGTTGTAAAATGTACTAAGTCTTTCAAAAAATACATTGCCGAAGATTTTATACGCAGATAAAACGCATGGATTGCTGCAAAAAGTTGATTACCACCTTTTTTATACATTTTCGAACAGATTTCATCGATTCCTGGGGCTTTATTGTCTTTGAGTTGTAGGATGGCATTTGACACTTCTTCTCTTGTTGGATCTTTAGTGTGTAGTTGACGTTGTAGATTTTATTGATTGCCTATGTTGTAACTTCCTTTAATATAGTTTATATTTAGATGTTCGCTGAAATGTTGTGCCCATCTGTTAAGAACTGAATTTTTATCATGTAGAAATGGTTCTCGGAGAGATGCGAAGAAATCAAACAGTGCGAAAAGGTATACGACTATCACAATATGCATAAGAAGATAAAGGAACTCAGAACAAAAAAAACTACAATATTTTATGGAAAAGGGCTGTTCGATGATAATGGAAATCTACAACTAGACCCGACAAAATAGTTAGAATCTGGGAAACTTATGTGGAACAGCTGTTTGATCACCGTCCTAGTGGGTATACACTGAGCAATGATTATACTGGCCCTTCTATTCTAAAATCACAAGTGGAGAATGCTATAAAAGGTCTTAAAAATAACAAAAGACCAGGCAACGATAACGTGTACGGGGAAGTATTGAAAATGCTGTGCGAAACAAACAGTCAATTTCTAGACTCACTCGTTAGACTCTTTAACAATATTTATAACAGCGGGGAGTTTCCTGAAGACTGGCTAGAGTCAACTTTTGTTGCCATATCGAAAAAACCAAAAGCAAAATCTTATGATCAACATCGGATGATAAGTCTAATTAACCACATTTCTAAGGCATACACCAAGGTTATTTACAACAGAATAAGCAAAAAATGCGAGGATAACATTGGAGATTCGCAGTTTGGGTTTCGGAATTCTCTTGGGACAAGAGAAGCACTTTTTAGTCTACAGGTACTCATCCAGCGCTGCAGAGATATGAACAAAGACGTGTACATATGCTTTATAGACTACGCAAAAGCATTCGATAACGTAAAGCACAGGAACTGAGTTGCTTAATGAGTAAGATACAACAACAAGTGCACAATACGGACTCAGACTAAATATTACAAAAACCAAATGGATGTTAGTAAGCAAAACCCAACAACTACCACAGCAACTGATATTAGACAATGAAAGAATTGAACACGTGGATTCGTACATCTACTTGGGAATAACAGTTAACTCAAATTGGGATCAAGCGAAAGAAATACGTATAAGAGTAGAAAAAGCAAGAGCATCGTTCACTAGCATGAAGCAAATTTTCATCTCTAAAAGCCTCACCCTACCTCTCAAAATTCGACTTCTGAAATGTGATGTATTCCCGGTTTTGTTATATGGCATGGAGGCGTGGACATTGACCGCAACATTGATGAAAAAAGTAGAGGCCTTCGAAATGTGGGCTTACCGACGTATATTACGTATATCCTGGACTGAGCACGTGACCAACGAAGAGGTACTACGCCGGATAGGTAAAGAGAGAGAGAGGTAGGAATAAGTATAAAGAAAAGAAAGTTGGAATACTTGGGTCACGTTATGAGACCTAATAAATATACAGTACTACAGCTGATCGTTCAAGGGAAAATAGACAGCAGAAGGGGTCCAGGGAGGAGAAGACATCGTGGCTTCAAAACTTGCGGCAATGGTTCGGATTATCATCTGCTGAACTATTCAGATCTGCCGTAAACAAAGTCAGAATAGCCATGTTGATTGCCAACGTTCGAAATGGACAAGGCACATGAAGAAGAAGAAGAATTTCATCGTTAGTGTCTTTACAAATTTTTAATGGTGGTTTAAATTTTCGACGGCTATTATTTAAGGATTTTTAGTATTTCCTTGTTTCATTTTTATCGAATAAGCGTTGTATCTCGTTGATATTGTTCTGTTCGTATTCATTTTTCTTACGTGGATGAATACGTTACGATAGTTGCTACTGCTGTCCAATTAGATTTTTGTAATAGAAATCACTTGAAATATAAATATAAAGTAATCGCAAATCATACAAAAAGTGTAGTAAAATCTCAAAACTAAACGCAACCAAAACGTGTTAGGAAGTGATAGCTGTTGAATTTGTTTAGTTACGTTATTTGGGGAGGGGATATTGCCAGATGACGCCACATATAACTACCTGATTTGGGGACAAAAATCGATACGAAATGTTAGTTTTGGAAATTTTCGTTACTGCCAGCTTTTTATGTGAAATACCACTCTGTGGGACGGTTTCCATTCCGCATCGGTAACAGACCAGTACCTTGATCGGTGTTTTTAAAGATTTCCCCCACCATATTTTGGACAACCCTCCAATCCAATTGGCAGCATTCTTGCTTTGGAATGGCTAATTTTTGCACGTGAGTTTCCATTACGTCCTCTCTCAAATTGAATAATATCTCCCATACATCTTGGTAGGTGGGTTGGTCAACTCAACCAAACTTCCTTCGAAGGATGAATGCCAATTCTTGTGCGTCTTTAATATTGGCCGGAATAGTATGGGTCAGTCATCTGGAAGTGTGAGTACATTTTGCTTTTCTTTAGTGGTAACATCATGTCTTGCTTTACTGATACCCCCATATGTCCCCACGAAATCCTTAAACGTGAGGTTAGGTACTTTTTGGACTTGGTTTATTTCCCCTTTATCTACGTTGTGCTCTCTTTATAATGAATCTAGCTGGTTATGGTGTACTATCATCGGTTTTTCCCTCGGAATCTTGCTTATTCCATAGATGGCGTTGTTAATCTTCCCCCTAATAAGGTACGGACCTTCCTTTCTTCCCTCTTTCCTGTCTTTCTTCCTTCCTTTCTTGTGTTCTTCCTTTCTTCCTTCAGAACTACTGCAACTTGGCAGAATAAACTTTTCGATGCTTTGTATTGTAGAGCTCTACTTTATCATTCTTCTTAAAACATCCCTTATTGGCTTGAGTATCATACCGTTTCTTTATTGTATCGCTAGCTTCCTGAAGATGGGAACGGACCAAGTCGTGTCCATTTTGCTTCATGTTTGGTTCACGTAATTTTCACCGGCTATATCTTCCCTAGGTCGACATCCAAACTTTATATCACAGGGTAGTGGCATCTTCCGTCCAAATAGGAGTTTTACTAATATTTGGCCCGTTGATTCATTGCAGCGGATTTGTAGGCCATTGCGAAGAATGAAAGGTACTGGTCCCAGACTCGCTGGTAATTGGAGAGAATTTTTGTTAAATATTTGTCGACTGTCTTTCAATCCTGTCAATTCCCTGGAATAGATCGATTCCTATCATAACCCACTTATCCAAGATGAAATAAATGAGAAATTTTCTCAGACGGATCTCTTTAACAGATGGTTATGAAGATAAGGACCAATTCATTGCCAAACTGGATCACCAGAATAAAGTAAAATCGACTTCTTCTGGGGATATATTAAAGATTTAGTGTAATGTGAACATTCAAAAATAATTGAAATATCAGAATTATGAGACATTTCATAAAATAAATATTATGAAAATGAAATATTATTTAAATGAATATTTTTTACAGACGTAGGATTCGCAACAGGCCCAACAGTGGTCCTTCTCCAAAAACAATTGCTGGAATCAATTTGGAGAGTAGTAATCCACAGTTCGTTAAGCGACGTTAGTGCTGCCACCTTACCACCAACGAACAAATCCATTGGTAAGTCAGTTTTTAATTAATTTAATGTAAATATTTGAAATTTATAAAAAATGTACGTATGTTATTAATAATGGAATATCTTCTATATCTTCTATTTGTTTGTTGCGTAAGGATGCAGCTGATACATAGTGCTTCTATATCAAAACTTTTCAATTGGAAAATTGATATTGTGTTTTTGGGTGTTTCCTTAATATCTAAGTTCCATAACACAATGTAAGAAATAATATTTTACGAATATCTGATTATAGAGAAGATAAAATACTACAATTACCTAATAGATCTTGAAATTCTCTGTTATAACAATAAAACTTTCTATAATATTCTTTAACAGCGTACCTTTAAAGAGATCGGCCCAACTATGTGACATTTAAAATGCCAGGCGACAAGATTAGTACATTAAAAATACAATTGTCTGTGAACTATGAAAACAAACAATGCTGCTGTCTGATTGACAAAAAGAAAGCGGCAAAATGCTTTTTTGTGCTATTTTAAATCGTTTCTCGAATGAAGATAATTAATTAAAGTAGAATGGAGCAGTGACGGCTTCGAAGAAATAAGCAGGTGTTTTTACACATTTAATTTTATCTCTGTATATCCTAATCAATCTCTAAAAATTAAAATAAAAAAAGTTGTACTGTAGGGGGTACTGTGGACTTGAGCAAAACTTCAGATTATGTTTTCTATATTTTTTAAATCTGAAATAATGTTTTTAAAAATTGAATAAAGTAATTTTATTATTTATTTATTATTTTTATAATTTTTTTATAGATTTTAATAGAATTGAAATAAAAAGTTTACATGTTGTAAGTCCCATGTTTCTAGTTTCCATTAACGGCATAATAAAAGATATACAGAGAGAATTAAAAGATATATAGGTAAAGAAATAATAAATAAGACTTACTCACAATCAATTTAATTTAACTATCAGACGACCGGTTTCGCTTTCCTACAATATGCAAAGCATCTTCAGGTCTCGCTACAAAGTTAAATAAATGCTGAAATGATAAAAAACCCATATTAGGGTGTTGTCTAATAAAGATAAACAAATTAGATGTTGTAAAATTACAATAATTATGCCAATATTACATGTCTGTGGTTTTTATTTCAAAATGAGTAAGTTGAATAAAAAGGTATAAAAAGTTATAAAAGTTTAAACAGACAGGGTAAGACCCACAAATTGTTATAAAATAGCCTATTAGATTGTAATAAATTAATAAATGAGCAAATAAATAAACATTACTTACATGCCGGTACTCTATTAATTGATGGATGGTAGAACATGGTTGAAATTTAATTAGTTTAACTTTTTAATTTAACTTTGTAGCGAGACCTGAAGATGATTTGCATATTGTAGAAAGCGAAACCCGGTCGTCTGATAGTTAAATTAAATTGATTTATATGATAATTAGATAGATGTGATAAATAGACAGGCATGGACACACATTCAATACTAAGAACAGCTCAAGATAGAGAGCAATTTGCTGTAGTTATAGCCAACCTTCAGTAATAGAGAAGGCACCTTAAGAAGAAGCAGTTTTTCTTCTTTTTATTATTGGCAGCAATTATCGTTCTCTGCCCATTCGATCTAATACTTCGAGATTTGTTGTGTGATCTGTCCAGGAAATTAAGTAGTCTAAATACCACATTTCAAAGGCCTCCTCACATCCAGGTTTCTACACCATATAACAGTATGGAGTAAAATGTAACATTTTACACGAGCGATATCGAAGCGTTAAGTTAAAGGCTGCCGTTGCTTAGCAAGGTTCTCATATTAGTAAATGCTGTTCTGGCTTGCTCAATCCTGCTACGTATCTCTATGTCTGGATCTAGATCTTCAGTTATTCAACTACCGAGATATATGAACTTGGGGACCTTTTGGATGGTCTTATTGTTTAATCTTATATTTAATTGCATATTTTGTGTTCTACTAACCACCATTACCTTCTTCTTGTCTATATTAATCTTTAAGCCCAGTCGTTCTCCTTCAGTGTTTATTCTATCTATTAGTTGTTGTAGCGCTTCTTGGCTATCAGCTATTATGACTGTATAATCAGCATATCGAAGATTACTAATAGTCTGTCAGTTGATTTTGATTTCCATCTTCAGTGTCACTTAAGGCTCTATCGAAAATCGTTTCAGAGTAAAGATTAAAAAGGAGGGGTGACATAATACAACCCTGTCGTACACCTTTTTCGATTTAGGAATATGATGTAGATTCCAGTCCTACTCTCTCAGAGAAATTTATAATAACTTACTATTCTTTTCTATATTCTCTAAAGATAATTATGACCTCCAAAAATGAGACATGGGACAGAAGGTGCAGAGAGATAGAATCTTATATTGGAGGACGACAATGCACTGAGGCGTGGAAGTTTATAAAGTCTGTTAAGAAGCCGACTAACGAGAAAGTGATTCTAAATCCCATAAATCCCGAGGATTGGGACACATTAATACAAACATCTATTAAATGAGAACAGAGACGAATTTAAAGAAGATATGAATTCATCAAGAATCGAAATTCTGGGGAGAGCATATTACCGTAGATATCAACATAGTTCAAAAAGCTATAGCAGGGACGAAGAATGGGAAAGCAAGTGGACCAGAGGGAGTAACTACGGAATTAATAAAGAATGGCTCAGAGAAATTACACAGAATGATCACGGTGATTAATATATTTAACGAATATATTAATGGACATACAACACCAGATGAATGGAAAACAGCATATATGACCCCAATATATAAAAAAGGTGACAGGAGAAATTGTAAAAACTATAGAGGGCTATCGGTCACAAGTTCAATGAGTCGACTATAAGGTCGAATACTAAGGGACCTGATAGAGGAAGATTATTAATCGTCTGAAGACGAAGAACAAGGAGGATTTAGAGTAGGTCGTTCATGTACAGATAACATCTTCTGTCTTACACAAAATTATAGAAAAGAAAGTTGTGACAAATAGAGAGTTATATATGACTTTTGTAGATCTTGAGAAGGCATATGACACAGTCCCGCTAAATAAACTATGGGAAGTCCTGGGCACATCAAATATACATCAAACATTGGTTAGTGTTCTCAAAGATCTATATTATGGTTCAAACTATCAAATGAAATTCGGAAACCTCCGAGCTGAAAAATTTGCAGTTACTAAGGGTCTCAGACAAGGATGTTGTATCTCTCTGACTCTGTTTAAGATTTATATCTCTGCAGCTCTGAAACAATGGAAAAGGAAAGTCAAAGGAATGGGTATACAATTAAACAATCAGGATTGCACATATACTTTACAGTTTGCAGATTATTAGGTGGTGATCTCAAATGACAAAGACGACATGGAATACATGCTTAGAAAACTAATTGAAGAATACCAGAAATGGGGATTAAATATCAATTTAGAAAAGACAAAATACCTCTCAATTGAACTGAAGCAGAACAACTCGATATTGATGACAATCAAAAAATAAATCCATGTGACGAATATAAATACCTGGGCGTCAGCTTCGACCGTAGTGGAAAAGACGAACGAGAAATAGAACATCGAATTGTACAAGCACGAAGACCTATAGCATGTTTGAACGGAGTTCTATAGAGTAAAGAAATATCAAAGAAAAGAAAATGGAACATCTATGAGACATTGGTTAGAACTAGCCTACTTTATGGAGCTGAGACATGGAAAATAACCGAGAAATATAAGAAAAAGGTCGAAGCCACGGAAATGGATGCCATCAGAAGATCGATGAGAATATCAAGAGCCTACAGAATACGGAATGAAGTGATAAAACAACAAATGGGTATAGATGGCACTATAGTTGAGGATATTGAGAGAAAACAGCTCATATGTTATGGGCATGAAAGCCGAATGGGAAACGAAAGAATGCCTAAAAAACGATGATGTGACAACCCCCAGAGGAGAAAAAAACGATGAAGACCACCACAGAGCTGGAACCTGGGAGTTAGGAAAGCGATTAGCGCTCGAAATCTGGACGAAGACCTAACCCAAGACAAAATACAGTGGCGTTTGGGAGTCGGACAACGTCGTAAGACGTTATAAAACCGAATATATATATATATATATATATATATATATATATATATATATATATATATATTATATATATATATATATAGTATATATATATGTATATGTATATTCTATTAGAAGTTTTCAAATTTTGCGGGAGCGCGTGCCCCACTTGGCCCTCCCTAGCTACAGGCCTGGTAATAGCCTCCATTTGTTTAACTTAATTACTTCCGTTTATATATTTTTTGGCAGTTATATTTTCTATAAAACGCAAAATATTGCACCATTATTTTTGTGTTTATTAGTTGTTTTCCTCGCTATATATAATTCAGATAGTATGCATATGCTCATTACAAAACATAAAAACACAGTCTTTGTATTGTAGGATCAAAATTTTAGTAAAATATTAATTGTCATTCATCATTCTTTTTCAAGTTGTTGAAACTGATTTTATCGCTTTATATTCAACGCTAATGGTGGTCTAAAAAACAATGTCGCTACGTGGGTAGAATACAAATAATAGTAGGATGAAGAAAAAGCGCCCATTAATGATAATATTTATGCAAAGAAATGCCACATGCCTATTATTTTGTTTAAAAGAAAACTAATGCTTTAATAACAGTAAAATCTACGGGATATGTTTTGAATATTTGTAAATGAAGGTGTCTATATATTATTACTACGAGTAGTACTATTTATTACCTTATTGGCCTGTTCTACAAAACGTATTGATACTATTTTTCTATCTGTCTAGTCTATTCTATCTGTGTATTTCTATTTTTTCGAGGAAATACAGATTTTCAGGTACTTTATTACACGCCAACGATGACAACTTGCCCCAGTGACATTTTCAGAAACTTCCTTTGTGCACAAAAAGCACATACAAATCAAACCCTGAAGACGATGCAGAATCCTAAAACAGGAACATCCAAGTTCAATCCTCACCTTAAGATATTCTATTCTTCTTCTTCTTCTTCTTCTTCTTC